GAGGGATAAATCACTCATGGAAATCACTGTACACTTTGCTGGGAATACTTTGGGAATACCTAGGAATACTTGGAAATCCTTGGGCATACTCTGGAAGTACATGGAAATAATTTAAAAATACGTGGAAGTATTTGTAAATTTCTATAACTTTCAACCCCACTTTTAACGTATTTTTGAGCATTTTTATTGAAATCTCAAGAATTGACTGCATGTTCGTTCTGGTTCAGTGTTTCACTTTGTTTTGGTTAAGTGTTCCAATTTTTTTTTGGTCAACGGTTCCAGTTATCCTAATTTTGAGGCAACTGAAACAGTGACCCCTATTTTCTTATGCATTCACATAGTAATAATTCTGAGGCGACTGGAACATTGTAACGTAGGTACCGATATGTAAAGATTGATTGATTGATTGAACTAATTTGCTTGAGAATTATGGGAGATGCAACAAAAGTATTGTAATAATCCGGGAAAATAGACACAATGTCTTTACAGTAAAAATTAAATATAATCAAATAATCAAACGCTGAATTTCCGGTATTTCAAATCAGTATCAATAAATTGAAAATGAAACAAATTAGCGTAACACCAAATTAAATTAAAATATTTATATACGTTGAAAAATTCTATTATCAAATCAATGAACTTATTTAAAGCGAGGCCAAGGTAATTAAAACCGTGATTTATGGCTCACGTGTTCTATCGGCTTTTTTTGTATTGTTCTCACGTTCTTGAACCAATGTATTGACCCCTATAAATCAGGAAATTGCGACATACTTATTCGATTTTAAACAAATAAAAATGACAAAAATTTCAAGGAGATTGCATCATCTTAATTGTTATGGACAAAGACATTTTGGGGGGATCGAATAATATAAATACAGCGGTTTCAGTTGAGATCATCAGTTGTCAGTTGTTAGCAGTTTAAGTTCAGTCCAGTTTGAGTTAAAGCCTACAGTACCTAATGTGTCAGTCCGATTAAAATTCGCGGAAAGTTTCCTTTATTGCCTCGGAAACAGTCTTCGAAATAGTAACGGAAAATTTTGAAAGAAAGAACAATTAAATTCGTTCAAAAATTATGTGCGTGCTCTATAGATTTTGAAGTAATTTATTAAGTATTTTATCGAGTGACAATTTAAATGTAAGTACTTTGGTGGTTATTAATGTTTTTCTGACTTTTAACAATGATTCTGAATGATAAGAAGTGAATTGACAATTGACTTTAATGCCTAAAAACTTGAGTGATTTTGACTAGAAAAACTTTTGACTTTATAATTGATGAATGACTATGAAGTGAATTACCTTTGGAACTTTATTGCATAAATAGTAATAACTCGAGTGTTTTGACTATGGAACATTATTGCATAGCCTTAATTGCCTTCGAGTATAATGACATTTTAATTTAACTTTGCAAAGAAATTATGAAGGGAATTTATAATGCACTTAACAAGAATCGATTTTGAGAAGGATTTATTCATTAAACATTTGGGTTTATTAGCTAGGCTAGGATTCCGAAAATAGTAATTGTTCTGAATTAAACTGACAAAAAGTTTTTGTTTGAAAATTGTTGTTCATGTTGTAACATTGATGATAAAGTGCTGATAATTTGAATTAGGGTTTTATTTTTCATGTAGAAATTATTGTAAGGTTTTTTAAGAATAAGTTAGGAAGACCTAAATTATTAAACAAACAATTATTTTGATTTTTACATAAGCAGTCAGTAAAGGAATTTTTAAGAAATTATAGAGATAGGTGAAGGGTAGTTTAATAGGAATGAATCGAAAGTGTTGAAATGAATAAACTTATAAGTTATTAGAAATAGTAGGAATAGGGCGTTACTTTATTTGTATGGATATTTCCCTGGTCCGTAATAATGACATTTGAACGGATGTGAAGTAATTGAATTTAGAAAAATAGATGAGGCTGTCAGAATTGAAAGATATTTTGCTGATTTAAATTTTTGGTTTTATGTATAATAAAATATAAATTAGTAAACCTCAATAGTTTGTTTCTCTATTTTGCGAATAGACCCTTCCACAATTTTAAAGGTAGCAGCTCCCAGGAAATAAACACCGTCAATATACCGCTCGCCATTTACCATCTAACCAATTACATAAGTAGAGTACTTGGGGCGTTTTGCTACAGCCGATAATATACCTTTCCCTCTTGTTCCAAATACAGAGAGTCTTATTGTGGATCTTGGGATGTCATAGAAAACGGCAGCACCGTATATTGTTCTTTTAGCGTTTTAGACATCTTCAATTGCTTTTTTTTCCAGAGCCAACTTGGTATATCTTCACCCGTCCATACTTTTAGAGGTTCTACGGATATAATTCCTGACCATATTTGCTCTAGGACAATCGAGAATATGTGATACGAGCTTAATTTCAGGTGGAACAGAACATATGTTCCAGTTGGTTACATTATATACGTTCCAGTTGCCTCTTTACGTATTTTTACCGGGGCAACTGGAACCGAAGCTGTGTTTCCATTACTTGAAATTTTAAGCTATGAACAAACCTGGCTTACCTTACATACTCAATGCAATATTATCCACTATGTGATCACTCACTACCCATTGATTGAAATCCAAACTTCTGTCACTTGTTGTTACGATACACTTTGTAAAAGTAACAAATTTCAATGTTTTTCTCAGGAGCTAATCCGGCGTCGTTCTTTCTACTACATGCAGGGTATGAATGAGACATACTCGTAACAAATTTTTATGCATGGGAAATTCAAATTTCAATAATAAGAAAGAAACTGGCATATGGTCCATTTTCCTCGCTGTGTCAGTTAACTAAGTTGACCTTCCTTGGAAATACTGGGGAATACTTGGAAATACTGTCCAAATTTGAGAAGTATTCCCAGAAACTGGAAATCACTGTACGTTTTTTCGTGAGTGGTTGACCCCTCGGTCTGGGGTTTCGGTTTAAACACTTGTGTTTTTCCGAAGATAGACTTCAACTTCTTTGTAAATTTTGACCCGAAACTAATTTTGAATACATTCTAGCTTTTGAGTATTTTGTACCTAATAATCAGGAGTCTAAATTCTAATCTGAGCAGTTAGCTAAGACCCACAAAAGCTAGGCAGTGAACAATCATTTACTTTGGAAAAGTTAGAATTTCATAATAAAAAATTCAGCTTTTTACTGACCGTGACCTTGAACCTCAAGGTCGCGGTCGTCGGTGAGTAAGAAGAGCCGGGCCTGAAGACCATCCTGGTTCAGCGCACAGGCGTTAAAACTATTTATTTTTTTAGGAACGAAGTGAAATATTTTCAAGAAGAATAGCAGCGGTATGCTGGATTACACTACCACAGAAAATCGTTATAGCGAAGGGTAAACCACTAGTGGAAATAATTGTACATTTTTTTCGGAATCACATAGTAATCAATCAGGAATATATGGAAATCACTCGGGAATAACCTAGGAATCGCTAGGAATCTCCTAGGACTCCATGGGAATAACATGGGAATCCATTGGCATTCGCCTCGGCCCTTAGTGCTAGACAATTTGAAATGAATTTGATATCCCAACGAGTTTCCCAATAACTGAACCCGAGACTACGAAGAATTTGGAACTTGAAGAAGAAGAAGAACGAGATAAAAATTAGGTCACAAACCAGTCAGAGCGTTTTTGATTGGTGCAAATCGCCAACAACAACTTTTCTGACTATTTTCAACCAATGAAATTCGCTCTGACTGGTTTGTGATTTCTGTGAGAGCAGTATGACAATGTTGTAGAACATAAAAAATGAATTTTGGAACATTTCTCGAATCCGGCTTGCCAAAAGAAGACACAGAATTTCTTCACACATGAGGGTTAAGCAATTGCGATTCGCTACAATTTAGAGATTTTTCATGGCTCAACTTCAATTTGGTTCTTTTCAGAGAAGCACGGACGTTTGTCGGAAGACACAAAAGAAAAAGTCGGAAATCAAAGGAAATAAGAACTTGAAAAGGGAAAGTAGAATTAATAGGCAGTGCGAGAAGCAGAGACGATAGCACATTTGAATCAGAATCAGAAATAACTTTGTTGAGTGAAACCCTAACTGAAGATGTCTCTGATTCAGATGAACATCCTAGTGAAATCAAAGAAATATCCATTATTTGAGATCCATATTATACAGTGTCGACACGCAATGATATCTAGGGCTCAACAACTATTTATACCTACAACAAAATCGGTGTGGGTGTGGACAACCATGAAAATAAAAGTTACCAGCGTGTTTTTATAAGAGAAAAGACTATTTTGGTCATATCAATGCGAAGCTCAACAATTAGACATCGTTTTCGTAATAAAATCAGCTGGAAATCGGACGATTGTAGGAAATCATCGATGAAATCAGGTAATCAATTGGGAATGATATAGGAATCCCCAGAAAAAATGGAAATCACCTGGTAATCATACAAAAATATCTGAAAATCATCGACAATCAGTCGCAATTCTTGGGATGGGAATACATGGGATTCATTGATCAGTGATTGCCAAATATGGAAATTATTGTACATTTGTAAGCATAGTGGTTGACCCCTGGCGTTATAGTTATACATGTAGGTACCTACTTGGAAATTATAACTGACTCATCATAAGAGATTTCTGGAAGAATTATAGGAAAATTACATGTTTTCAAATCATTTTCATAGCCAAATTTCCATGTTTAAACAAGTTTCTAAACATGTAATTTTCTGTAGTATTCGAAAGCAAATTTGAAATAAAACTAGTCACTCCCAATCCTATCGTTGGGATTGAACTTTCTCCATCCTCGCAAATTCGCAATAATATGGCATGCCCCTTTATACCTAAAAGTTTTAGTATAAATCATAAAAGTTTTTTTCATCACACAATACAGACGTCACAATCTTTATAAAAAGCCTTGGTAATACAGATCCATTGCCTTAGCAATATTACACACCAAACACACTATAAAAAGCGGCATTTCCAATAACACATAGCGAAAATCGGTTGGATATCGGAATCAGCGGGATTTCGAACACCACTTACCCGCGTATTATTTCTTTCCGCCTTTAGTTCGGATATTTCCTCTTCCCGTTCCAAAAGCTGCTCCCTCGCCCCGTTCAGTTCTTTCGTTAGGGTGGCAAATTCCTGCAAAAGAAGAAGAGAAGAAGTCAATAAAAGCCGGCAAATTTCTAAACGTTTTATAGAGGAAATATAAAGTGTACGAGGAGAGAAACGGTATATGAATCATATAAAATATCTGGCAACCAATAGCTTTTATTCCAGATGGATATACTTGGCAACTCCGCAGAGGATAAAGTTTAATTTAGCAACTTATATTGGGTCAGGGTTGATTCATTTTTATAAACATTATGGAAAGTTTTGCATCATTTTGTATGGGATTTCACATCCGATAACTTTAAAATAAATGGTTGCCTGCCTGTTTGTATTGTTGCTTTTAGCACTACGACTGCTCTGATTATTCAGGAATTAGTCTATAATGGTCAGTTGAATTACGATGTATGTTCCTAATGTGTTCGGAAATGCGTAGTTTCTGAGATACAGGGTGTAGAAAAAATCGTTTTTTTAGCCCAAAAATCCCTTTTCCAATTTTTTTTTTTTCAAAGGCAGGTTTGTTTGTGATAACGAAAGGTATCTTTTGACTCTAATATGACTTGCATAATCTGGAAAAAATATCAAAGGTTTTAAAAAATAGTGACGTGCCATTTTTTTCTACTTTTACCAAAAAATCCTGTATATATTTCTATTTTCTGACCACCCTGTACATGCTATTTTGAGTTTTAATAGTTTAATACTATTTTTTTAAGAAGCAGAAACTTTTATAAAGAATAACTTTTTTCCGTAAAATTGATAATAAAAAAGTTTCCCATATGCTGCGAACTTATATAATAATGTATAATAATAATAAAGAAGTTTATTTATCAATGTAGAATAACTTTCAAAAATATAATTTAAACAATAACCTACGACTATGATAATAAACAATTTAACCCTGAAGTGATTTTTTCACTTGTTAGGGCAGTATGATTTCTTTTTTTTTGGTCCTTATTGAGTTCTGTCACAATCAGTATTTTGACGTCACAATCGGTATTTTCGCGTCACAATCGGTATTTTCGCGTCACAATCGGAATTTTGACGTCACAATCGGTAGTTTGGCGTCACAATCGGTACTTTGGCGTCACAATCTGGTTAACTAGTCACACTTTGGCTTTTCCCTATAAAACTACACTTTTTCGATTTGCTATAGTACACTATTCAATTCAATACTTATTCACTAACTTATATAAAATAGGTACATTTTCTAAGCTATTATATTAAACAATTTATGGATTTCTAATCTGCTTATTTGTGTAATCCAATTTTTCAATAATTTTTTGAATTTTTTTCTAAATATAATATCTCTCAGGTTTCTTGGTAAGTAGTTATAAAACTTTGGAGCTAAAAACTTGAAGGATCTATGTCCAATCTCTTTGTTACTTGCTGGGACCAAAGCTAACTCATTTTCTCTGTTTCTAGTGTGGTGCTGATGACTTACAACGTTGATGTCAATTTTTTTTCTATTAATACACATAAGCAACTTTTGAAAATAGAGTTGTTTAGGATCAAATATTTTTGATTCTCTGTATAGTTGATCCGTAGAGAATGATCGGCTTTTCCTATAAATTATTTTAAGCACCCATTTTTGTAAGATTTCTAGATCCCTCAAATAATTATCTCTTGCTCCACCCCATCCCACAAGCCCATAATTTATATGGGATTGAAACAATGCAAAATAGACCTCCTTCAAATCATCAACCTCTAGATAGTCTCTGAGATGGGCAAACCTAGTAACTAAGAATCTTGTTTTACTTATCAAATATTGTATATGTTTGTCCCATCTCAGATGACCATCCATGACCATTCCAAGGTACTTTACATGTTCAGCCCTTGAGATAATGGAATTCTGGTCGATCTTTATTGTGTCATAGTCAGGTAAGTTTGTCTTATATGAGGTAAAAGGCAAGAATGTGGTTTTAGACTGATTTAATGTGAGTTTATTGAATTGAAACCATTGATAAATTTTGTTTAAGTCTCTCTCTACAATGTGTTTGAGCTCTTCCCAATTATTTGCGGAGTAAAAAGATACCGTATCATCACAAAAACTTCCAATTTTTCCCTCAACTTGTAATTTTAGCAAGTTGTTGATGTATACTGTAAACAATATAGGCCCAAGAACTGTTCCTTGTGGCACACCACAAGTCACAGTCCCAAGGTTGCTTTTTATTCCGTTCAAATTTACATATTGCTTCCTATTATTCAAGTAACTTTTTAGTAGGTTTAGAACACTGCCACGAAAGCCGCATTGCTCTAGTTTACTTTCTAGAATTTTGTGGGATACTGTGTCGAAGGCCTTTGTGAGATCAATGTAGACGCAGAGAGATGCTTTTTTATTATCGATGGCTTCATAGATGTCAGATGTTAACTTCAAAATCGCGTCTTCTGTAGATTTGTTGTCTCTGAAACCAAATTGTTTATCAGATATAATCTTGTTTTTTTCCAAAAATGCAACCATTCGTAACTTAATAACCTTTTCAAATATCTTTGCAATATTGGAGATTAAAGAAATTGGCCGGAAGTTATTTAGATTTTGTTTTGGACCTTGTTTGTATAACGGCTTAACCTCCCCTAGTTTTAAACAATTTGGGAAAGATCCTATCTGAAAGCTAAAGTTAATTAGATAAGAGATAACTGGCGCAATCTCTTTAGATATTTCCCTCAGTGTTTCAGATTTAATTCCGTCATATCCCGGTGCTTTTTTTGTTTTTAATTCTTTAACAATTTGGTGAATTTCATTATTTGTTGTTTCCTTGAAAAAATATAAACTTTTTGGTTCTCTTTCAACATTTTCTAAGTACCCTGGTGGGGTATTTATTTGTTTTGCAAGATTTTCTCCTATTTCAATGAAAAAGTCATTGAAATGGTTTGCAATTTCAAATTCGTTAGTAATTTCTTGAGAATTTGCTAGTTGTATTTTTCCGATTTTTGTTTTCTGTTTAGTTTTATTACATATGGTATTTACAGATGTCCATATATCCCTTGTGTTTGTTATGTTATTATTGATCAATTTTTCGGCATAATTTTTTTTTGAGCGTTTTATTGTTTTTTCTAGATCACTTTTTGTTTTTATATATTTATTTTTTATAGTTATGTTTTGTGGATTTTGTAAGTGTTGTTTATACAGTTCGTTTTTGATTTTTATGTCTTTAAGAATAGTTTTTGTTATCCACCTGTTTTTGCCATTTTTCGTATTACTTTGTTTAATAGTGACTGTGTGTTTTGTTATCAATGTCTGGAGTTTGGTGACAAAATTGTTGGTTGAGATATTTAAATCGTTCACTAAATATATATCATTCCAAGTTTGGCTTGCTAAATCCCGCCTAAGATTGTTGTAGTTTATATATTTTTTTAGCCGTGTCTCAGAATTATTTAGGTTTTCTTCGTAATTTTTATTTTTGAAACAGAGTAAAATTGGACAATGATCCGTTATTTTATAATTTATTGTAAACGACTGTGTATCAACCAAATTATTAGCCCCAAAACTTTTTACAAAAAAATGATCTAAACAGGTTTTGGATTGTGGTCTTGTATAAAATTGGTTATAGGATAAGTAGCCATAACTTGCTAGGATACTTTTATAGTCTTCTGTATATTTTTTATCAGTTCTAAGTAAATCTAGATTAATGTCTCCTGCTATTATATGGTTTTTGTAGTTTTTTATATGTTGTAAGTATTCGGAGAAAGTCTCTACGAAGATATTTTCATTAATAGCAGGCGATTTATAAAGACAAGTTATTAAGAATCTATTTGAGCCTTTTCCGATGTTCAACTCTATACTCTTTATGTCTCCTATATTTTTAAACGTATATTTCATCTCTAGATATTCTTTGACATAAACCACAACTCCATCACATTTATTGAATATACCTTGACTATAAACCATACTGTAACCTGTCAATTGAAATAGTTGTGGATCATTTATCTTGTGGGTTTCAGTCAAAATTATAATATCCAAACTATTTGAAAGTTGTTGTAAAAAACATAAAAGATTATCAAAGTTTTTATTTATGCTGCAAATATTAAGATGCAATATTTTAAAATTTTTATCAATTAAATAAGGATTGAGCTGGTTTATGTCATTAATCAATTTTGTGGATATTTCCTGCGACTCGAAATCTGTATCGTTATTCATTTTTTTTTTTTTTTACATTGAAACTTCACCCAGCTGGAAATTTCTAATCACTTGCAATAGTGTAATTTAGAAAGAAAAGGAAACTAAATACAAACACAATTACTTTTTTTTCTATATCTATATCCTAAATCTAATCTAACCTGACCTAAAGTTCACAACTTTTATTTACTGGAGGTACTTAGTTAAGCTGAAAAAAGAAGTGTAGAATTTATAGTTTTCGAATAGTTTTCTTCTTTTTGTTGGACCTTGTTTTCATCCCACCTGGACTGGGTGTTTTATGTTGTTTTCTCTTCTTGCTATTTTTATTTTGATCTTGATCGACACTGGTTCTCTGTTCTATATTTTGCTCTTCTTCTTCACTTTCTTCTTCGCTTGATTCTTCGGTCTCCGAGCTGGTAGTAGGAATATCTGATTTTGAGTGGCCTTCCAATTCTTTAGCTGTATAGAGTTTATTGTCGATCTCCAACTTTAGACCTTTAATTTTTGCCGGTTTATTTTCGTCGTGTGCTTTTTTTTGGTGTTTTCTTAGTGTTTTCAGTTCCCTCCTATCTTCCTCGCAGAGATCATTTGAAATCGCATATGGTGTGTTTTTTAGCGCCCTAAGTTTTTCTGGATCCTTGAATAGCTCTGCTTTCTTTAAGTAGGAAATAAACTCGATAAGAGTCGGTGCAGAATCTGACTTACCAACTTTATAAATATTGTTAATGTTGTCCTCTTTTATGTTGGTTGCTAACAATTCATTTATTTTTGAAATTGTCAGTTTAAGTAGATCTTTCGGATCCTCAACTTTATATCCAAAAAATAATACATTGTTCCTTCTTATCTTTCTCTCTAAGAAAATGTTTCTTTGTTCAATCTCAACAATTTTTCTGTTCGTCTTTCTTAAGTGTCTAGAGAC